TTTAATTGATTTTTCCGTACATTTCTGCCATATGTACATTAACTGACAGTCACCACTGATAAGCTACCACTAAATATTGTAGAAACTTAATTTGCTGTAAAGTTGCTTTGCAACGATTTGTATCGTGAAAAGCGCTATACAAATAAACTTGAATTGAATTGAATTGAAATTATGTCCACAGCTGGCATGGACCTTTGCAAATGGACAACGAATTGTTTAGAGTTGAAGGAGAAATGGAAGACAATGATGAATGGCCTTGCACCAGAGAAAGACAAAGCCAAGATCATAGATAGTTTGTGTCAAACAGAGTGGCTGAAATGCAGTCCTTAACCAACCCTGCAATGATGTTCCACTGTAAAGGCAAAGCCAACCCAGCAGATCTCCCCACAAGAGGTCAGACTGTAGCCTGTAACCTGAAAGAGAGCGAACTGTGGTGGAAAGGACCTTCATTTCTGACCTACACTGAATCTGTCAGAGGAGAGTGATGAAGATCAAAGTGATGAAGATGTGAGTAATGAGCTAAAACAAGTTCAGCAGATCACTGTGCAACTCAGCAGCAGCAGTGACCAAAGTGAAATGGAACCTGTGCTAGATTTACTGAAGTACTGTCAACTGAAGAAGGTATTGCGGGTCACTGCTTGGATTAAGAGGTTTGTGCACAACGCAAGTTCAAGCTCCAAGAGACGAGGTGAGTTGACTGCTGAATATATGTTTGCAGCTGAGAAGTACTGGATTAAAGTGACACACATTTGCAGCTTTAGTCATGAGATTAGTTTGCTAAAGGCTGGTAAAACCCTGAACTCAAATAAAAAAAATCAGAGACTTTAAAACCTTTTTCTTGATGCTGATGAATTCCTGTGTGTTGGAGGCAGACTGCAACAGTTGGACTTCAGTTACAGAGAAAAACATCCATGTTTACAACCATGAATTCACCATGCATTCTGGTCTGAGAGACACTCTTGTACAAATCAGAAGCAGACATTGGATTGTGCAAGACAGATAACTTCTAAATAGGATTCTATTGAAATGTACTGTATGCAGAAGATTTAAAGCAAAGCCCACACAGCAGGACACTGCTCCATTGCCATGAGACAGAATATCAGAGACCCCTCTATTCGAAGTTACTGTCATAGACTTTGCAGGTCCACACTATGTGAAGAATGATTGTGTGTTATGCAAGGCTTATGTTGCTCTGTTCACATGTGCAGTCGCTAGAGCAGTGCATTTAGAGCTGGCTTTAAATCAGTCAGCAGAAAGTTTCCTGTTAGCACTCAAGCGATTTGTTTCCAGAAGAGGTCTGTTCAAGGTCATTTATTCAGACAAACGAGGAAAACAAAACCTCAGCCACTGACACCTGCACACTTCCCGATCGGTGAACGACTAACTTCACTGCCACCAAAACTATTCCCAGCAGACTCTGATCAGACCACTGTGCGTAAAGAGGAGATGACAAGGAGGTGGAGATAGAGAAACTGGCTCATGACCAACCTGTGGAATGACTGGAGAAAAGACCATCTGCTAGACCTGAAGTCTGCACAAACTCACTGATTTGAAAACAGGTGGCATTATTCTCACAAGAGACGTCAACATGCCAAGAAAAACCTGGAAATTAGGAAAAATTGAAGAGCTGTTTTACAGATAAGAATAAGACATTAATAGAAACTGTAAAGGGTTCACTTTAATGGGTCTTTTGATGGTTCACATAAACTTATCCATTCCAATTTAATTTAAATTTAATTGAACATTCTAATTTTGTCGGTTAACAGTCAATGATTGGTTAACGAGCGTTGTGAGTCGGTCAGAAAAATGAACCCCAAATGAACATCCTTTTTTAACATAATTTTATGGGGTCCCAATCACGCAGTCTCTGTTGATTGTGTGACTGTGACGTCTCTGTAGCGGCTCCTTATTCACCATCAGCTCATCCTGAGGAAACTGGACTGATGTCTAAATACAGAGAGTCCTACAATAAAACACACAGACAGTCACATATGAGTATGAGACATTACTGCTGCCACATTACATCAGCAGATCCATTTCAGAAAAAACACAGTATATTCATATTTCAGCCAGAGATATGAACGAACAACTGATCATAGATTAATAACAGTAAATATTCAACCACTACTATCGGTTACACTTTATTTCGATAGTCCACTTTAGACATTCTACTAACTATAAGTAACTTTGTAATTCTCATTAATTTGCAACTACATGTTTACTAACTCTCAGAGTAGGCTGTTAGGGTAGGTTTAGGTTTAGTAGAATAAGTTGACAAAGAAAGTGTTAGAAGATATTAAACAGACAGTCTACTAATACTCTACTAACTGCTAGTTGACATGTAGTTGCAAAGTTACTTGCTGTTAATAGAATGTCTAAAGTGGACTATCGAAATAAAGTGTTACCCTACTATCACTTAGAGACTCCGTAAGAGATTAAACTTTTTAAATAGTCATAAATCAGTCATATCGCAGAATTAAACCGTTTAAAGTACAGAGACTAAAGTGAAGCTGAATTATCATCTTATATTCTCCAATTCCACACACAGGAGGTCTGTTACTCAATTTAGAAACTTTAAATAAACAAACACTCACAATAGTATAATGTCTCCAGTTTGTAATATGGATCATCCTTCAGATCAGAGAGTAACTTCACTTCAGATTTTCGTAGTTTATTTCCAGACAGATCCAATTCTCTCAGGGGTGAGGGGTTTGATCTCAGAGCTGAAACCAAAGCAGCACAACCTTCATCTCTGATGCCACAATTATACAACCTGTAGAGAACAATGACACAATGTGAATTGTAGTTGAAGTGTCTGTAGTTTGTTATTGACTCTGGTCTCAGAGCAGGAAAGGAGATATAATGACAAGCACTGCCACAAACTGCTGCTGATAGAATGAGATTTATGCATGTTGATGCTCAATGCTGCCGTTTGAAACTGTCATGTGCTTCAGGACTGAACAGACACACATCAAACCCCTCACACCTGAGAGAACTGAATCTGTCTGGGAATAAACTAGGAGATTCAGTGAAACTGCTTTCTGATGTACTACAGAATCCTCACTGTAAACTGGAGAAACTGAGGTAAGATCATATTATTATATGACTTACACATTATGCACATTTAAAGTAAATATGAAGTGTTCAGCCTTAGCTTTTTAGTATTAAAATAAACAGCATTGCAAAAGCCATTTGTTCTGATTTTCACTGTAGTTTATATATAGATGATATCTGCATTTGTTACAGAAGCAAGTACATGAAAACCATCAACTACCAAATACCATAAAATCCAACTGAAGATAAACAAAATACAATCTTGGTCAACACAGAACGGTTTCAAGTTCTCACAAACAAAAACTGTCTGTATGCATTTCTGTCAACTTCATTCCTTGCACAATGAACACTCAGGTTACTGACATAACCTCGGTTCACTGAGATTAGGGGAACGAGCGTTGCGTAACACGCATTGGGCAAAACTTCTGTTTTACTCTGTACTGAAGCCTGATTTGTTCACGTTTGTGTAGCTGCACAAACCAATGGCGCTTTAGCCCTCCAGAATGGGCGGAGCCAACCACTATATAAGTCGGCTCAGAGCGCCATTCATTAGATCATTCGACTGAAGCGACAGTCATCGATTCGCGTGCAGCTTATGGCGCGGAAAGTGACATATTTATTTCAGGGAATCTAAGTTACGTCAGCATCCAATCACGAAATTTTTGAGCAGATACAGAACAATCTGTCCTGCGAGCCCAATCTCGGAGCACTAGACAAGGACTCCCAAGAACATGAGCACACTGTGCTACAAGCTAGTAGCTGATAAGCACAAATATAACCAACTTCACCCAAGGGGGAAGAATGGCGGTCTAAACAGAGAGAATCCGTGCCTGTAGTGCAGGGACATCCAAATGTAAAATCTGGCATATGTGGACGGCGACGACCAGCCAGCGGCCGCACAAATCTCACCAATATAGATCCCGCTGGACCATGCCCAGGAGGAGGCCATCCCCTTTGTGGAGTGGGCCCTCAGACCTATAGGGCATTGTAAGCCTTCTGAGGTGTAAGCCAAGGCAATCACATGTACAATCCAGTGAGAGAGTAGCTGCTTTGTAGCCAGCAGTCCCTTTTGGCGGCCTGCAAAGCAAACAAAGAGCTGCTCTGACTGCCTAAACAGGCTAGAGTGCTCTAAATACACTCTCAGTGACCTCACTGGACAGAGCCAGTTAGTACCCTGCTCACCATCTGTAACGGAGAGCTCCAACAGGGTGATCACCTGTGCTCTGAACGGAGTCGAGAGCACTATAGGAACATAGCCATGTCTTGGTTTCAGGGCGACCTTACACTCGTTAGGTCCAAACTCAAGACATGAAGCACTAACTGACAGCCCTTGCAAGTCACCCACTCGCTTAACCGACGCTAAGGCTAGGAGGAGGGCCGTTTTAAGCAATAGGGGCCGCAATTTGGCCAAAGATTTGGGCGGGGAGATGTATCTAGTCCGAAGCTGTCAATGATAATAATCATTGGTAACAGCATTCTCTTTTAATCTGCCTAAAAAGATCGATCCACTCATTAGATGAGGTGTGCTGATAATCCAGACAGGCGACGCCCTCACTGCCCTTCTGCATCCTGCAGGATTTACCGCACGAGCCACACTCACGGAGCGACATTTGAAACAATGTTGCTAGGAAATTTGCTTAGAAATTTGCTCTTTTAAGTGCCGGATGGCCACAGGGGAAAGCTTCTCGCTTTTTCCTCTGCCGGGGCTCTTCTATGGCGGCGAGCTGCAGGCTGAGCTTCTTCCTTCTTTTTCGAAGAGATGATCCTCGTCGCTGAAGGAGAATGATCTGATGAATGGCGTTCCGAGCCGACTTAGATAGTGGTCGCCTCCGCCCTTTCAGGTGGGCTAAAGCGCCATTGGTTTGTGCAGCTACAAAAAAGTGAACAAATCAGGCTTCAGTACAGAGTAAAACAGGAGTTTTCCCCAATGCGTGTTACGCAACGGGAGAGACCGTTCGAAAGGGAACTAGGGATGCTCTATTCTGTCTTTTTTGCCTCGGGTGTCCTTCACGCTTAATGCAGGCAGTATCTAAAGAGTGACTTACTCAGACTTTTTATACTACTTTTTGGGAAACTCCAATTCAATATCAGTCTCTGTGACTCATGCCCAATTGCCGGATGCCCTTCCATCTTCTCCTACGCTGTCATCTTCTTTTAGCACTCTTCTTCTTCTTTGCTGTAGTCTTGTCTGTTTTACCTCCGCTTGTGGTTTTAAACCTCCTCTGCACCCCTGTGTACCCTCTCAGTAACCTTTGTGGTTAGTTGCAAACATTAAGTTCATGAATTTAATTTTTGCACCTGTTCCACAGCATAAACACAGGAAGTCATGCACATTTATCTAAGCTCTACATCAATGTAATTTAAAGCATTTTAGGTACTTTCATATTCAAGCATATTGCATCAATTTAAAAGCAAGCAAAATAAAATAACATTGAAACTGGTAAATAGCAATATCAATATCCAAGACACGTCCAATACCGATTCCGACACCTATGGTTCAGTATTGGCCGATACAGATCCCGATCCGATACCAGTGCAGTTTTTTTCAGTGTAGAATTTTAATATCTCTGTATGTGGAACTGATAATCATTTTTGTACAATCAACTAAATACAGGCTAATTCATTATAAAGAAAAAAATATATATTATCTATGACAAAAATATATTATAAACTAGGTTAGTGGACAATTCAGCATCAAAAGTTATTCTAGACATATTCACAGACTTGAATATGTTTGCATTATGAGAGAGTTTCAAGAATTATGAACAGGCTATTTTGCCATTAAAAATGTGATCCATGTATTCCATATTCTTGAATAAAAGTCTCATAAACAGTTAAAAAAAGTTATCACAAAACACATTTAACACGCTTTTAAAGCAGAGTGCACAACTAATTCACAATCTCTATTGAGTTTAACACATTTCTATTCAGTTAATTCTGTCATTAATTACTCACACTCATGTCGTTCCAAACCCGTAGAACCTTCGTTCATCTTCGGAACACAAATTACGTGCATGCATGAAGCGGAAGCAAGTGCGTGCGTCGTGATACTCTTTCCCCAATGGCGGCACGCCGCTGCACACAGGTTGAGGAGGAGAAGAATTGTTGAATAAAGTCGTTATTTTTGTTCTCTTTGTGCACAAAAAGTATTCTCGTAGCTTTGTAAAATTACGGTTGAACCCTGAGCTAAGCTACATTTCTGGGTCTGGGAACATTTCAGTTGTGTTGCTGTCTATGGAGGGTTCACAGAGCTCTCGGATTTCATCAAAAATATCTCAATTTGTGTTCCGAAGATGAACGAAGGTTCTACGGGTTTGGAACGACATGAGTGTGAGTAATTAATGACAGAATTAACTGAATAGAAATGTGTTAAACTCAATAGAGATTGTGAATTAGTTGTGCACTCTGCTTTAAAAGCGTGTTAAATGTGTTTTGTGATAACTTTTTTTAACTGTTTATGAGACTTTTATTCAAGAATATGGAATACATGGATCACATTTTTAATGGCAAAATAGCCTGTTCATAATTCTTGAAACTCTCTCATAATGCAAACATATTCAAGTCTGTGAATATGTCTAGAATAACTTTTGATGCTGAATTGTCCACTAACCTAGTTTATAATATATTTTTGTCATAGATAATATATATTTTTTTCTTTATAATGAATTAGCCTGTATTTAGTTGATTGTACAAAAATGATTATCAGTTCCACATACAGAGATATTAAAATTCTACACTGAAAAAAACTGCACTGGTATCGGATCGGGATCTGTATCGGCCAATACTGAACCATAGGTGTCGGAATCGGTATTGGACGTGTCTTGGATATTGATATTGCTATTTACCAGTTTCAATGTTATTTTATTTTGCTTGCTTTTAAATTGATGCAATATGCTTGAATATGAAAGTACCTAAAATGCTTTAAATTACATTGATGTAGAGCTTAGATAAATGTGCATGACTTCCTGTGTTTATGCTGTGGAACAGGTGCAAAAATTAAATTCATGAACTTAATGTTTGCAACTAACCACAAAGGTTACTGAGAGGGTACACAGGGGTGCAGAGGAGGTTTAAAACCACAAGCGGAGGTAAAACAGACAAGACTACAGCAAAGAAGAAGAAGAGTGCTAAAAGAAGATGACAGCGTAGGAGAAGATGGAAGGGCATCCGGCAATTGGGCATGAGTCACAGAGACTGATATTGAATTGGAGTTTCCCAAAAAGTAGTATAAAAAGTCTGAGTAAGTCACTCTTTAGATACTGCCTGCATTAAGCGTGAAGGACACCCGAGGCAAAAAAGACAGAATAGAGCATCCCTAGTTCCCTTTCGAACGGTCTCTCCCGTTGCGTAACACGCATTGGGGAAAACTCCTGTTTTACTCTGTACTGAAGCCTGATTTGTTCACTTTTTTGTAGCTGCACAAACCAATGGCGCTTTAGCCCACCTGAAAGGGCGGAGGCGACCACTATCTAAGTCGGCTCGGAACGCCATTCATCAGATCATTCTCCTTCAGCGACGAGGATCATCTCTTCGAAAAAGAAGGAAGAAGCTCAGCCTGCAGCTCGCCGCCATAGAAGAGCCCCGGCAGAGGAAAAAGCGAGAAGCTTTCCCCTGTGGCCATCCGGCACTTAAAAGAGCAAATTTCTAAGCAAATTTCCTAGCAACATTGTTTCAAATGTCGCTCCGTGAGTGTGGCTCGTGCGGTAAATCCTGCAGGATGCAGAAGGGCAGTGAGGGCGTCGCCTGTCTGGATTATCAGCACACCTCATCTAATGAGTGGATCGATCTTTTTAGGCAGATTAAAAGAGAATGCTGTTACCAATGATTATTATCATTGACAGCTTCGGACTAGATACATCTCCCCGCCCAAATCTTTGGCCAAATTGCGGCCCCTATTGCTTAAAACGGCCCTCCTCCTAGCCTTAGCGTCGGTTAAGCGAGTGGGTGACTTGCAAGGGCTGTCAGTTAGTGCTTCATGTCTTGAGTTTGGACCTAACGAGTGTAAGGTCGCCCTGAAACCAAGACATGGCTATGTTCCTATAGTGCTCTCGACTCCGTTCAGAGCACAGGTGATCACCCTGTTGGAGCTCTCCGTTACAGATGGTGAGCAGGGTACTAACTGGCTCTGTCCAGTGAGGTCACTGAGAGTGTATTTAGAGCACTCTAGCCTGTTTAGGCAGTCAGAGCAGCTCTTTGTTTGCTTTGCAGGCCGCCAAAAGGGACTGCTGGCTACAAAGCAGCTACTCTCTCACTGGATTGTACATGTGATTGCCTTGGCTTACACCTCAGAAGGCTTACAATGCCCTATAGGTGTGAGGGCCCACTCCACAAAGGGGATGGCCTCCTCCTGGGCATGGTCCAGCGGGATCTATATTGGTGAGATTTGTGCGGCCGCTGGCTGGTCGTCGCCGTCCACATATGCCAGATTTTACATTTGGATGTCCCTGCACTACAGGCACGGATTCTCTCTGTTTAGACCGCCATTCTTCCCCCTTGGGTGAAGTTGGTTATATTTGTGCTTATCAGCTACTAGCTTGTAGCACAGTGTGCTCATGTTCTTGGGAGTCCTTGTCTAGTGCTCCGAGATTGGGCTCGCAGGACAGATTGTTCTGTATCTGCTCAAAAATTTCGTGATTGGATGCTGACGTAACTTAGATTCCCTGAAATAAATATGTCACTTTCCGCGCCATAAGCTGCACGCGAATCGATGACTGTCGCTTCAGTCGAATGATCTAATGAATGGCGCTCTGAGCCGACTTATATAGTGGTTGGCTCCGCCCATTCTGGAGGGCTAAAGCGCCATTGGTTTGTGCAGCTACACAAACGTGAACAAATCAGGCTTCAGTACAGAGTAAAACAGAAGTTTTGCCCAATGCGTGTTACGCAACGCTCGTTCCCCTAATCTCAGTGAACCGAGGTTATGTCAGTAACCTGAGTGTTCATTGTGCAAGGAATGAAGTTGACAGAAATGCATACAGACAGTTTTTGTTTGTGAGAACTTGAAACCGTTCTGTGTTGACCAAGATTGTATTTTGTTTATCTTCAGTTGGATTTTATGGTATTTGGTAGTTGATGGTTTTCATGTACTTGCTTCTGTAACAAATGCAGATATCATCTATATATAAACTACAGTGAAAATCAGAACAAATGGCTTTTGCAATGCTGTTTATTTTAATACTAAAAAGCTAAGGCTGAACACTTCATATTTACTTTAAATGTGCATAATGTGTAAGTCATATAATAATATGATCTTACCTCAGTTTCTCCAGTTTACAGTGAGGATTCTGTAGTACATCAGAAAGCAGTTTCACTGAATCTCCTAGTTTATTCCCAGACAGATTCAGTTCTCTCAGGTGTGAGGGGTTTGATCTCAGAGCTGAAGCCAGAGCAGCACAACCTTCATCTGTGATGCCACAATTATACAACCTGTAGAGAACAATGACACACTCTTCACTCTCTCAGATCAGATCAGTTTAGCTGTGAATCCATCATTAAAGAGAAAGTACAAACATAAAGCACAAATCAATATGTTTGATGGATCATTGGACTGAGGTCTAAATTGTCACAGAACACAACACATGATGATAAAACACCCAAAGTCTCATTCAAGCAGGATACATAATATTTCTTGTATGCACTATATCTCTATTTTATGCTAAATCTTACCTAAGTTTCTCCAGTTTACAGTGAGGATCCTCCAGTACAGAGGACAGCAGATTCATACTAAAATCTTCTAGTTCATTCACAGACAGATCCAGTTCTTTGAAGTGTGAGGGGTTTGATCTCAGAGCTGAAGCCAGAGCAGCACAACCTTCATCTGTGATGCCACAAGTATTCAACCTGTAGAGTACAATGACACACTCTTCACTCTCTCAGATCAAATCAGTTTAGCTGTGAATCAGTTATTAAAGATCAAGTACAAACTTAAAGCACAAATCAATGTTTGATGGATCATTGGACTGAGGTATTAAATGTCACAGTACTCTGAATAGACCACCAGGGCCGTACGCAGATTTCCTAAAAGAATTAGCAGTTTTCCTCTCAGACTTATTGGTTAATTTTGATAACGTGCTAATTGTCAGAGACTTTAACATTTATGTTGCTAATACAAATTATGCATTAGGACTTGCGTTTACAGACTTCAACTATCAACTTAAGGGTCAAACAAAACATAACCGGGTCCACACATCATTTTAATCATACGCTAGATTTAATTATATCACATGGAATCAATCTTTCTGATATTAATATTGTACCTCAAAGTGATGATGTTACTGACCACTACCTTGTATCGTGCATGCTGCGTATTACTAATATTAAAGGTGCAATAGGTGATTGTCTTCAGAAAACAATTTTTGTTATGCTGGTTGAAAGTCTCTTCACATCCCGATAACAATCATTAAGTTAAGTGGTCTAAATGTATTTGTCTGTATTTATATATTCTGTGGAAGTCATAGGATCAAGAAATGTTTGTTCAATCAAAACGCTCACCCTTACGAAAAAGTTTATTCAAGTGTGCTATTAGTATACTTTTTTTAAACTAAAAACCTCTGCGCACCAGGTTCGTGCAGACAGAGCGAAAGTGGCAGACAAACATCAAGAACCCGATCCTCCTTCCTGGTATTGTAGTACTTTTGAAGTTTTCTCACCGGTGAATGACACATGATGTAGCCCAACGGTTAATCTAGTCCTCGTTCCAGCTCGTTAGAAGTGAGTGATGTGCATGAACTGTGTTCCGATCGATATGATCCCTACACAGTGTTCATTGCTCCCTACTCCCTGAGCAGGGGAAATCCGTTGAAGTTTGCTTCACTTCGGGAAACGCGGATGTAGCCGATTGTAGTAATGTTGTCTCTGGTCTGCTGGTCTGTGAGCGTATATGCGTTCAGGGGGCGTGGCTTTGGACAGCGATTGCAGGAAGGGTGGGACATTCGCTTTCAGTGCTATCAGGCTAAAGTTAGCATTTTCCAAGATCTCCTACTGCACCTTTAAATAATGGAGCCTAATGTAATGTGTGGTTGAACAATAAAGAATCAAAACATTTTCAAACAATATCAAGAGCATGTTGTAGTCCAGATTCAATTAAAGTGTAAAAAAGTTTGAACATAAATTGCCTATTAAGCCTAAGTATTTAAGTATTTGGTGCTGTGATGAACAGCATTACTAATACAAATATCAGAATGGCTGTTAAATCTTATTCAGAAACTGAAAGTAGCAGCTGCTTTGTTTACGGGGTTACCGGGGTAACGGCTGCATTTCTGCTGTTCCAACAGCGCAATCTGCTGTCAGAGAGTGAATGTGCATTTTCATCAGCACGTCTCCTTCACTCGTTCCGCCATGCACTTCTCATCCAAGTTGGGCTTATTTACATGAGAGTGCACATGCATCTTTGACGCAGCATACAGCGGCATTGTACATTTTAACCAGTTGATGGGAAAAGTAGGCTATTCTTAAAATGCATTCACAAATCTGAATAATTTGTAATAAATAATTATTTACGGCATTTTGAAGTACCCACGATAAGTATATAGTGCATGGTCATAATCGTGATATCGCATTACTGAATACCGGCACAAGTCTATTATGCATCATTTGGTGGACTTTTGACAGCTCCAGAGATCATGTTACAGGGGTCATATGATGCTGCTAAAAAGAACATTATTTTGTGTATTTGGTGTAATGAAATGTGTTTATGCGGTTTAAAGTTTTTGAGATTGGCCAGCTATCCAGTGCGTTGTGATTGGCCGAATACCTCAAGCGTG